ATATTTATTTTATATTTATATTATATTTACATTTATATTCTGTTTTAGTTAACAATAACACTGTATTAAATATCCTATTTTACATCTTATTATGGAAGCAAATGGTTTGTGAATAGAGTTTCCTGTTGACTTTAACTGTATCTTGCTCAGCTGCAAACTACTCACTATTTAAAGCAGCTTCCCCATAATATATACAATCTTATTATTAATTTATTCCCTCATAAATAAGCTTTAGAAAAGCATCAGAATTGTGAGCAGTCATGTAAAATGCATCTGTTGTTGATTTATCACTGTGCAGCATTATAAAGCCTTAAAGACACACGAAGAGTCCGGCTCAACCTCAGGAGAAGCAGCAGACCACATCAGTCCAGAACCAGCCCCGCAGACCCTACAGTCCTGCAGCAGCAGCAGACAGGAAGTGGAGACGCTCGCACAGGAAGAAGCCGTCGCCAGAGAGCCGGAGGACGAGGGGAAGTCTGTCGGGGGCCGGGGCCGGACTCCTGCTAAGAGACGAGGACGAGGAGGAAGACGACGCTGAGACACACACACAGAGAGCTGTATCAGCCTCAGAGGACCCTAGTGAAACCATTGAGTGTGTGTGTGAGTGAGTGAGTGAGTGTGTGTGCTCAGCTACAAACTACTCACCATTTAAAGCATCTTCCCCATAATATATGCAATCTTATTATTAATTTATTCCCTCATAAGTAAGCTTTAGAAAAGCATCAGAATTGTGAGCAGTCATGTAAAATGCATCTGTTGTTGATTTATCACTGTGCAGCATTATAAAGCCTTAAAGACACACGAAGAGTCCGGCTCAACCTCAGGAGAAGCAGCAGACCACATCAGTCCAGAACCAGCCCCGCAGACCCTACAGTCCTGCAGCAGCAGCAGACAGGAAGTGGAGACGCTCGCACAGGAAGAAGCCGTCGCCAGAGAGCCGGAGGGCGAGGGGAAGTCTGTCGGGGGCCGGGGCCGGACTCCTGCTAAGAGACGAGGACGAGGAGGAAGACGACGCTGAGACACACACACAGAGAGCTGTATCAGCCTCAGAGGACCCTAGTGAAACCACCCTCCGTAGACCGTGTGTGTCCCGCAGTTCAGACGGGATCGTGCCACACACTCGCGCCTCTAGCCCTGTTTGTACAGTAGCTGTGTTTGTCATGAGCACACCGACCTCAGAAGAAGGGGATGATGGGATACGCCGCCGGAGCAAAACATAAACACCTCCAGCTCAGAT